CGCCGTCGAAAAGCTGGAGAGGGCAGGCAAGCTGATGTCCGCGTCCGCGGTGCTGACCAAGGTTGGCCAAGCCGTGCTTTATCTGCCCAGCATTGCGTTCAGCGCGCCGCTTCCAGACGTTGTGCCGCAGACATGCACAGGCTGAATTTGAAGACCCTCCTAAAGCTTTATCGGAAGCGCCCGCAAAGCCGCCGGCACTTCCAAGAAGCGGGGCGCGCCACGACGGCGGGTAGATCCTGAGAGTCATGACTTCGAGTTGATTGACAAGCTGCGGAAAACCAGGATAACGCAAGTGGTCTGTACACTCAGGTCGCAAAAGCCGTCGACGCAGCCGTGCGTCCGGGCAGTGAGTCCTCCGATACGGTCGTCCTGCAGCGGGAGTACTTCTATCCTTTGGAGACACGATGTCGTCGCTATGCGTGTGACCACGGAGGTCAAAATTGCTCCCGACTGGCAAGGAGCGTTTGCTGTCCCAACACGGTTGATTGTGATAGCAGCGCATCAATGTTCAATATTGTTGTGCAGTTGGTTCATCTAGTCAAGCCGGACAACCCCAGCCTACCTTCGCGGCGTGCTGTGGCCCAGAACACAGCAACCACCTGTTTGAAGTATCTCCATTGCAATGATGCCAATGGTAAGCAAACGCTTATGGAAGTCGCCAATGGTGCTGCGAAGGCCAAGTTTGCTCATCTGGGCGATGATGCGCTTCGTTTTCTAGATGCGCCTGCCGGCGAGAGCAGGCAGTTGCGCTGGCTGGCATGCTCCCAGATGCAATCAGCGTACGAAGCGCTGCGGAAGAACTCGAAACATCACTGGCCGGAAGCGAAGATCTTCGCAATTTGGTGGACAAAGCATGCTTCAGGAGATTCAGCAACATCGAGTCGAGGGCCACATTTCCTGCCACTTCGACGGTTGGACGCTCCATGGTCGAAGCCACACAGAGAACAGCCAGCCAATCAAGATGCAAGCATTCTCTTGCAGGATGCCGTGGCACGCCACGCCTTGCCACGTAAACCTGAAAGACAAGACAGCTCAGTCCTTCGATGTACAGCTCAAGAACAACGTGAAGCCGAGCCATGCCGAGCCACGTAGCATCTGGCAGAATCTGGCCTCGGTGCATGCACGGACCTGCTGACGTCTATTTCAAACCCGATTCCGGCTGTAATGGTTTTCCTGGGAGTGGATGTCGAGGTGGCAATGACGCGTCTTCGGACAGAACCGCCCGCCAACATAAGCTGATGCACGAGGCTTTCGTCAACACTCTGACTGGCGCGGCTGCGACGGCACACACATGCTGTACATAGCTGCGATAACAGCCTGAACAAGAACTTCCTCTTGAACTTGGAACTTCCCGATGCGTCCATCTGCGTGGGTGTGAGACTTGACGGCGAAGGTCAGGTTCTTGTCATGCGATCAGGGACAGTCTACCGTGGATCTCTTGGAGTCGTCATAAACGTTCTCCTTCTACACTACATCAGGGGGCCCGGATCTCGATGAGATTGAATCCTCTAGTCTGGACCTTCTGGCTCGCTCCTCCTCCTCAGCTGCCTGCCGCAAACGGCCTGCAGTAGTCTTACAGGAGGAGGTCCCGCAACACGAAGGCGACTTGGCGGTAGGAGCAGACCGCCGACGATTGCTGCAAGTCGAAGTCAAGGCAGCCGTGGACGCGGTCACCGCATCCTCCGGCGGATGCGTTCCGGTCGCCAACTGTCCGCTTCGTCCTTGGCGACAGTTTGATCGACGCAGGAAGTTGTCGCAGCATCTACAGAAACATCATACAGAAGCGAAGCGTTTCTGTGCTTCCAGTACAAAGCAACTCCGGATTATCAGTGCTGTCTACGATCACGACACGCTCCATGGCCGGACATTCGCTGCGAGCTATCTGGCAAGACCCAGCGTACTGCTGCGAGACACCGTCAAGGAAGCCATGTCTCGGGATCGCAACTACACAGACGAGCTGATACGTTGTGTCTTCGTGCAGACGGTCCTGAGTTTGTCACCATTGCGCAGAGTCGGGAATCTATATTGTGACCATGGTTTTGCAGATGCATTCTTGCGTGCGGCTGCTACGGGGAGCGTGTTGCACGCGCTCGCAGGGAGTTGGCTTCTCTTCTGCTTCGAGGGCGCAACACCTTCTGGAAAAGTGTCAATTACCGAGGACCTTACGAATTCCGCTTGTCCAAGCACATGCTCAGCAGTTGCTGGTAGATTGCGAACGGCGCGCAGAGTTCAAGTATACGTCAGCATTGACGTGCGACGTTTTGCATTAATCTCAAGATCACCGGACAAGCCTTCTTTCATTTGTTTGAGGCAGCTCGTTCTGCCGCTGTGATTCCGGAGCATGAGACGGCCTATCGGGCCGTCGCCTGCCGTGGTCGGACAGGAGCGACGTTGGCCGTATCCGGTATTCGATCTGAGAAGTCTCGCTTTGTGGCTGAAGTTCTCTAGTGTGGTTGCACGGTCGGCCAGTCTCTACAGGTGCTGCACGTCGCATCGGATGCTCCATCAGCGGAGCTTTGCAGCACACTGAGGGAAGTCTTGCCTAATCTGGTTGAGGGGGCTGCCTCCCATGAGTTCCATGCAAACTTCTGGGCCATGGCGAGAGCAGCTGCTTGCTCTGCTGCTGGTGATGGGAGAGGGCTTGCAAGTTGCACCGGTGGACGCTGCTACCGGAACGTTGGATGAAATGTGGGTGACGCAGTGGGCACAGGAAGTGGGGGCCTTCATCCCGGGTTACCAGGCAGCGCCGACAGAGCAACAGGTTGTAGGTACTTGAGGAGGCCAGAGATCTTGACCATCTACAGGATGAAGAGGAGGAGCGGCCGTGGAAACTTGCGCAAGCACGTCAAGAAGATGATGAGCGTAGACGTTTCGAAGAGGAGGAGGAGCAACGGCGTCTTCAGCAAGAAGCTGAGTGTTGCAGGGCTTTGGAGGCGATGCAGGTGGAGAATGTGCTCGGCGGTTCGCTTTTGCCAAAGTACTCTCGTGCGAGAAGCGGCTTGCTCTGGTGACACACACTATGGCCTTTGATGTTCCTCTCAACGGTGATTCCCTGGTCCTATCTTTGAGGGCATCAATGGAAGGGGAACCGAGTGAGGCCAGTACGGTTCCAGTTGAGGTGCCGGCAATGCTTTCAGCAACAGTGCCGGACTCTGAGGCGGCTAATGTGATGGAGCCAAGAGCGGGCCCTTCTGGGATGGACTTTGTGGAGTATGTGCCGATGTGGCAAAGAGGTGGCTGAGCTCTTGCAGGCTCAGCAAGCACTTATTTCTGATAAGCTGGACCAGCAAGAGTCCTTGCGGAACGACCAGGCGAGGGAACCCATGATGGCGGACACTGTCCTCAGCATCCAGACAATTCGACATCGACCTGTGGCGTGGCAAGTTCCTCGGTGTATGGGCCACAACATGAAAACGAGGGAGGCAATCGTCCGCCGGAAGTTGTGTCGGGCTTGGGACTCCAGCTCGGCTCCGTCTCCGATTGGTTTCTTCGAGAATGTCTACGGACAGTGGAAGACCCAAGTCAAGTCGGACAGGGAGGTGGCGCGAGCTTATGGAATGGTTTGGTTTCGACTGTTTCAGATGTGGTATCGGTGGGGCCTTGAAGCAAGTTGGAACTACTCGGATGAGTTCTGGATATGGAGCCGGATCCTTGCCCCACGGCAGAGAGGCCTACAATTCGTGAGGAGGACCTTGTGGATCGCAAGCTGTGGGTTCCGCTGCCTGTAGTACTTGTGGAAGGTCTATGTTCGCTGGGCAGCAGGTTCGTTGACGAGGGAGGATGTGATCGCGATCTATGGTTCCGAGTGGGTGGTTATAATTGAAGCGTTGTATGATGGTGGCATGGAAGCAGCACGACCACTCATGCATGACCTAGTCAGTTGGGAACATGAGGTATGGTGGAGGAACAGCCAGCGTGTGAGTTGGGACGACATGATGAGGTTGAACGCAGTGGTGGATCAGAATGAGACCGAGGGGTACTGACGGGCCGAGTGTTTGCCTTCCACCACAGCGGTTTCTGATGAGGGATGCTCCGTCAGACGGAAAAAGCGTTCAAAACGAAACCTTAAAGCCCTAGAGCGTGAACCCCGAAAGCCTTAAACCCCGAGCCACCATTCCGCAGCCCTGGAAGCTCGACCAGCCCTGAGGTCACAAGGTGACGACGCAGAAGTGCTGTGAGTATGTTCGCACCTCAATGCTCCACTTGTCCGTGAAGCTTCAACTTCGTATCGGTCCGTAACCATTAACTCACTAGCCTGGAAAGTATCATCATCATCATCCTCATCCTCA